TACGTCATTCTTAAATATCGAATTACTTCTCCAGGACCAGATTTCATGTCATATTGTACCAAGCGTTTGCTCCTGATTGCTTAGTAGATTGGGGGCTATTTAAGCATTCCACGGTTCCATGGTATTTGAGCACTTGCAGTGCTAGATTAATCTCGCATATTTTATGCCCTAGAACCGCTTAACCCCCATCACGAACAGTGCTTCAGCAGCTGATACCATAAACGCCATACGCTGTTCGTATGCCCGAGCATGTCAGTTAACAAATGACTTCTCCTAGACTAGGTTTACCCATACAATGCATTTCTAGTAGTATTAATGTAATGTATATGGCAAGATCTTTGCATTCTATAGTACATACGAAACAATGTTCCATAGCTCAATATTAATAACCACCGCGCTTGCTGTATCACCAATTTGTACATTTGTAATGCATGTACTGAACCATGAAAGGGCTCACGCATTACTCTATGCATCATAACTGGACATAGATTTATGCCACAGAAATAGCTATATATCAATGAAAACTAAGATTTGCAAAGCTCTTATACCTTTATAGCAAATGTAGTTTAGTATATACTGGAGGGGCATATATGCTAATTATAGTGTATGCTGGTTATAATATTAGTGGCTCTGCACTTCACTTAATTCTATATGTGCAGACTGTTATATTCACAATATTTACGTATACGACTGATATTCGCATACCTTTTCCAAAACCGGACTTCACGACGTAAAGTATTTTTTCCTTCTTTGTAAATCTGTAGTAACCTCTTTAGAAGTTATGCGCTTCTTGTAAACGTACATATATTTAAGCAATATTTCCATAAGTGAAGTTCTGTTCGTGAAACATGAACTATGTCAGGTGACGAATAAATTAGTGTGATGCGTGTCACATTGGCATGTTCTACATAATTGGCAGTATATAGCATTCTAATGTAGTATTTTGTTATAAATGTAGATTTACTCATTAATATAGTGTATGAAATATAGTGTAATATCGTGCCATGTGTACTGTATGTGGAATATGTAAGGCGTTATATGTACATTTTAAACATTAACACTTCTGTCAGTTCTCGTCACCAGGGATCCGCGCAGTTTCATGTCTCTTACTGTGTAGCATGGCATGAAGTTATATGGTTTATTGTACGTAGTGCATAGCAAATAATGTTAAAAACTAGTGCTATTGCTGTTGACAGTTCGAAGTATACGGCGACGAATTGCACTTCTCATGAAAGTGTAGCGCATGCTCTGACGTTCAACAATTGATTAAAATAGAATTCTGCTCGATCGAAACACCAGTGTAATAATTGATGTACTTAGTTTAAAATCATACTAGGAAACATAGCATCCAAAGGCTTTACAAGATTCAGTTCTCAACCCTCAACAACTACTACTTTTGGGTATTCTTTCGTTTTCCAGAGGAATAATTGAAAAAACTGAGTAGCTTTATAAAGTATCACATGAGCCACAAGTGCTGAGAAAATTTCATGCCTGATTGTTTTCGTTGTCTTCTCATCATTTTCTGAGCCTCACAGGATTGAACAGTAAAGTATCCTAGATTTATGTACTTTTGGACGTTTCCATACCAGTGTACTAACATAAGAAGCGGAGAACAAGATGGAGACATATTCGTTTTGGGGGAATAGTTCCTTAGATACTGTAACCGCAATGAAGCGAAAGCTGGTAATGCAGTTGTCATCGTTGAAAATCTGATGTGTTCTGCTGGAGCAAATGCTTAAGATGATGATTACGTAGAACAGCAGTTATGTGTAACCAATTTTGCATAGTGATCTTTAGTCGTCCGACAGCATTGTTTAAGGTTCTTGATGTCTTCTGAGTCAAGCTTTTTAATGTTATGATATGTTTACTGCGACGAGAAAGGGAGGCAGATGACTTGCGTTTTTTTTCTTCAGTCAAATAGCATGGTAATCACTGAGTATGAATCAATTTCTGGTTACTTGTAAGCGCAGGGTGCCTGGTCCTGTACGTGGATTGATCTGTTTATTATTATTTTCATTGGACTCTTTTCTCTTCATGTTTAGATAATGCCCAGATGCAAAAATTTCAGCGAATGGTCGACATCCTTGAGGGAAAACAGTAAGAGAATTTTTCTATGTGGTTTAAATGGTTAATATCAGTGACTGACGTGACATTTTAGTAAAACGACAATGGATGTCCTGCTAAAATGCGAAGAAACACTGAAACGCCAAAAAACCGACAGCTTTAAGGTACGATGTTAAGATGAATCTCAGATCACGATTTCATTTATGAAAAAAGAAATTTATAGCGGGTTGAAATGTCACTCTTACTTGTAATTTCGGATGATGCCATTTCGTTTACTATTTTTTTCCATGAATTTTGTGCTCCATGCCATCATCCAGGAGTGCCTTTTTAAACGCAGAATCTTTAACCATGTGACAGTGGTCTCAATTCCCTTCCCACTTAGTGGTACTCAGCCTCAGTAGAAAGATTGACTAATGTTCGAACCTGAGGCCTACCGGTTCTCAGTCTGATATCCTACTATCTCAGCAACCTCGGTCCAGGTGATTAACAGTAGGTGTACAACAGATACGTTTGGCAAAAAGATAGATCTATAGCTGTTGTACAACGAATGGGGCTCTCCATGTCATTCCAGAAGTGGAAGATGTCATTCATTCGTTCAGTGAGATGAATCAAATCTGATATGGAGGCTTGGGCAGCATATTTAGCGTGTAGTATAGTACCCAAATGTTTACCTCCCAATTCAAGATAATTCTTTCTTTTTTTGATATTATCCCCGAAACCTCCATCACCACGATCTTTTGCACTGTTTCGCGTGATTCGCGATTCCTTATTCACTTGGCGAACTTCACAGCGAAAATGTTTTCACGGTTTTGTATTCACGATAGCTCACGGTCGTTGCACCATAGTGTACATTGCAACAGCAGCAGAATTAATTATTTCATCTCGTTTTAGATAAAGATCATTGATCTTTCTTACGTTCCTGACATCTTATATCATGTTCTCATAATGGAATATTTGATAGCCTTATCCCATAAATCTTAATGGTTCCAAGGACTTCGCATTAGATTACTAATCAGATACTTTTTTTCATGTGATACTGAACGATGCGTTAAATTTGTTGTCACTGAGCGTTGTTTTCGATCGTCTTTGTTTAGGAGCGTGATCAGGCCATTTTTCAGCCACTGCTTGATGCAGTCACTCTGTTGTACAATAACAGAAACGCCGCCCCAATCCTCAAGCAAACATTCTCTATGACGTGGCCTAACCTCACCGAAAGAAGCATCAGGTTGTCTTTGTCTTCGTCGTTTTTTGGAAGGTTCTTTGTTTACCGGAGAACCGTTTTTTAGTGGATCGGAAGCTGTACAGGAAGCTTGCGAAAGCGACGAGAACAACGATCAGGTGAAAGTTCCAATGAATGTGCAGCGAGAGGTGGCTTTTCTAACATCGCGGTTCAAGATTGCCCTTGAAGGTCCGGAAAAATCCAAGTCTCACACTCCGACCATTCTTAGCATTCTTTGTTGGCTAGGTGCTGGTTCTGTTTATTTCTGGTTATTGGCATTGACATGTCTTGTAAACGTGTAAACATGTTTTTTGAAGTGTATTGATCTATGACTTCAGTTTTAACCCTGGTAATAAGGTGAAGCTTTTGGTAGACGTCTTTGCGGAAAAGGGAAATCAAGTATCCAAAAATTTGTATATTGCTGTCCTGGTAATGGATGAAATCATAGACTAATATAAAGGGGATTCGCATTTATCCGGTTATAGTGGGAATGAATTATTTGCATTCGGTGACCAGCACTGCAGGTTTTTTAACGGTTGCAAGTTTTTAGTGCCTAAATAGAATCACTCAAGAGCTATATTTTGTAACGGGAGAAACGAATCATGCGCAAAATAACTGTAATTATTCACATTATAATGAAAGTAAATTCGAAACAGCATAAAAACGGTTTGATGATCTTAAGCTTATGAAAGTCAGTCTTTGAAAATTTAGACCATTATCAACGTTTCCACCAGCATCTCGCGGCTTATGTCATTGTAAGATTTGGGTCTGGCCATTTGTCATTTAATCCTTGTATAAAACTTCCTGTAAATTTTCGTGCCATTTGCCTCAGTCGATGAAAGTATCTTATGAGTAACTGTTCTAGCTTATTCCGCATTGGAACAGAGAATAAATTTGTATTCATGAAAGCTTATTAAAATACTGTTTTTTGATTTATGTTTAGTAATTAATTACTAACGACGCCACATGTGCCGTGGTCGCTGCCACATTTAATTACAATTCCGCAGATAAACAAAACGCTTCACTTTCTGTTACCTCGTTTACTCGGCATAAATGCACCGGCCACTGGCTTCTGCTCGCTGTGGACACCCTTTACGCCGGCAATCGCTCTTAGATATTTTAATACTTGCTGTGCACTAGATGCAGAACCGTATTTCTGAGTTTGAGTGGGAAAGGTGCGTTCAAGCGCCAACTAAATGTACTACTTTCTGTAAGTAAAGGTGCAGACAGAACATGACTGATGTTTAGATGTAGATATAACGTAGTAATTTTCTAGTTCCGCCGGTAATCGCTACATTTCAGTTTATGATGTCGGATTTACTTATACTTTATACCAACTTTGGGTCTGATGTAATTCTGACTCTTGCGGAGGGCTTTAAACCTGATAACTGGTCTTGCATTTGTTTTGCAGTACTTTGAAACTTATAAGAAAAGGGACATTAGAGCTCCAGCAGTTTCTCTGAGTAGTTTTTAATTTATTAATTTGCAGTCTGTTATTAATTTTTTCGGTTGTTTGTCAGAATGATAGTGGCAACCCATATCAAATATCGTTGAAGGTCAAAAATGGCTGATATTTTTTACTGGGTAACACCGCATAATGGAAGTGTTATATGTAGATGTTTAACATTGTAGATCGCCTTTGATTCGCCTTCCTGGAGTAAAGTCAATTAAGGCAAATTAGCGGGTTGCGCAGATGCTGTATATAATAAACTTATTATATACTGTAATGCCGTATTAAAAAGTATCCTTAATCAGATTTATGCGTAAAGGTTCCACTAGTCTTAATTTGGAGAATTATTTTGATCCTGATGTTTTTGTAGATTAAATATTTGTTTATGCTGATGATCACTTTTAGAGGATCCGTCTTTGCCGTTTCTTCCACCATTGAGGCTTTTCGTTCCGATCGATTACCCGCACTCTAATCCAAAGCTTGACATGTGCTCCGCAAATTACGGTGAGTTCGTGCAATTGATCCATCATATGCTTCGTGATATTTGTTCACGGAATATCAGAAACCTGAAACCTGGACATATGCTTGAGAAGATCATTGGTAAACCAGTATTCAGGTCTTAATATGTAGGATGCATGAATGCTATAAAATCAAATTTTTTACTGTTTAAATGGTTCATTAATTAGCCTGGGTGTCACTAAGAGATTAGCATAATGTATTGACCAATATGCAGAGAAATAAAATGTGACAAGATTGGAAAAACAAAATATGAAACTGTCAACGGAAAATGTAGACATTCAGAGAAGGAGATACAGGGTCTTGGAAATGTCGTTACGACATAGGCAGACTTAATAGAACGCGATAGCTGCCTTGCTGAGCGATCAGCGTTTTGGAAAACAACGAGAGCAGGGAAATCAATTCTTGTTCTTGGTTATTCTCTCCGTTTCCAGAAGCCCGAAGTTGAACTTATATAAGAGTGTTGAAAAGTCTGTGTTATGCTGCTTCTGGCTTGCATGTGCACTCAAAATTTTATATGCGTTCTTTCATGTTCCGTTGAATAATGGCGAAAGCGGAACAACCCGTCTGACGCTATCGTTTCTTTTGGCAATGACAAAGGTCATCCTCATCTCAGGGAAATGACAATGTGAATGTACTGGTGTTGACAGTGATTTTCTTTGGGATTGTTTCA